TGTCAAAGGGGGGAGAGTGAGAGGGAGAGAGACCCCCCCCCCCCCCCAACTGTGTCAAATGAGAGAGAGAGAGCTCCCCCACAATTGTAATGTATGCCATTCACAAAGTATTCAAGAGTTCAGAGAGGGAGTGAGCTCCCCATCATCAATGTATGCAAACAAGGAGAGAGAAAAGGGAGCAAGGATTTAGAAGTTATAACTAGAAAATTTATTAAGGGGGAATTTGTCAAAATACACTTACTACATTAACTATTTAACACTTTATTTATATGTTTGATTTAACTTCGAAATGCCCATCAATTATCTAATATTTCATGATATGTACAATTTGATAAATTTCAAAAATTCATAATATGGGTTATTTGGTGATCCATTTGATATTTGGAATTAAATAAAAATAGATAAAACATGTTGTTAAATAGTTCAACTCTTATGTGTGATTTGATAAATCTTCTATTAAAATTATCAAGCTAATTCAAAGTAAAAATTAGATTTGATAATAAAAGTATAAAATAACATTTTGCTAATCTGACTAGGTGATTCTGACAGGCTAGAATGGCTAAATAATACGAACAACCATTTTACATTTATTATTTTTGTGTTATTTGATTTGTTGAAATATTGTCAAACAAGTTTGACTTAGGGCTAGATTGGTTTTTGGGTTAGATAATTCTTCACCAGTTCGACAACGGGTTAGCCGCTTACTTTGGATTTTATAAAGGCATTTATGTATGTTAGGTATAAGGCCTAGCTATATGAAAACAAAATAAAGCCTCACCTCAAATCCTTGTTTAGAAAGCACTATTGGTAACAAAGATATGTAAATCAAGTTATAATACTGAAAATAAAATTTGAAACTAAAAAATGGTACGGATCTTGCGGACCGATGAACGTTTATTTTAAGGATGAAATGAACGGTTTAGATAATTTCTTACATTATATACAATTTTTAGAGCTTAAAATCCTATTTTTTTAAATAACTAATATGTTCAAGTTGAAATGAACAATGTAAAGGTTCTCCAATATTTGAATTGTGGTTTTCAATGAATTATGAGGTGAAGATAGGCGCAGATTAAACTAATTTTCTTTCATGCTATTACATAAAAAGAAAATAGTTCGATAGGGTTGCAATCCTATCAAAATAAGTAAAGCATCACTTTGTAACTCGTTGAAATTGCAATTCAAGTATTGAAAAACTTTTATATTAATCATTTCGACTTGATCATTATGACTGTGAAAAAAAAAATCTTAAGCTCGCTCAAAATATATTATATATTGCAATAAATTATCTAAACTATCTATTTCACCCTAAAAAATAGTATATATTGCAATAAATTATCTAAACCATCTATTTCACCCTAATAATAAGGGTTCATATATCCACAAGATTTGTATTATTTTTTTAAGTTTAAAATTTAATTATTGATATTGGAAATTGATTTTAAAACCGATGCCGAAAGCGCTTAGACGAGGAGTTTGAGGTGAGGGTTTATTTTGTTTTCGTAGAGGCTAGGTCTTATAGAACTTCATCCTATAGAAAAAAACTAAATAGTATTACATAAAACTATCACTCTCCGCCTCGGTCTTTGCGGTTGGTTGCAGAGGAGTAAAGCAACCAACAAACAACTGCTTCAAAATTAGGGTTCCATTTCTGAAAAGGGAATTAGGTTCCCATAAAGGATCATCGCAAAAAGGGAAATTAGGGTTCCGTGACAGCTTCTTAAAGGGGAGATTAGGGTTGTAATAAAGCTCCTGGTAAAGGGGCGTCAATGAAAGCTTCTTGAAGGGGAAATATAGGGTCTGTGAAAATTTCTGAAAGGGAGGAATTAGGGTTTCACGAAATGGGAAATTAGGGCCTCGGTCTCTTGAGAGGCTTCTTGAAAGGAGAAATTGGGGTTTCATGAAAGCTTCTAAGAATGGCAGGAGAAGAAAGTTTTGTGGAGGTGGATCATGCAGAGGCGATCATAACTAGGATAGAGCACAAGTCTAGGCAAATTGAACGCTTACTCAGACTGTAAGTCTCTTTTTTAAACATTTTTTTGTCTCATATTTTCATTCAAAACTACAGTTCTCTGACCGTGCAAAAACTCCATTTGAATCATTACTTCTTTTTTTTTTTGCATGTTTTCGCCTGAAAGCAGTAATTTCTATAAAATTTATGTTTATGAAGTTTTATTTTGTTCTTTTGTTTTTTTCTCCATTTACTTGTTTGGTTATATTTGAAATTTCTATTGATATAAATAGATATTATTGATTTGTTTATTTGTTAATGTCGGCACTAGATCTAGGCCTGTTGAGGCACTGAAAACAGCTCTTGAAGGCTCCCCTCCAAAGACCATAGATGAGAGGTGCAAGGTAAGTGATAATTTAAACTCTTTTTGCTTTATTTTTGTTTATTTATTTTATGTTATAGAGTTTTCCTCGGTGTTACATGGCTTAATTTTTAATTTTGATAATTTTACTGGTCTCTCTTGCCTTGAATCTAGAGGTCTTTAGAGAGTTAGAAAGCTCAAAACACACACCCCCCCATACTCACTGATGAAGAGGAAGACATAAGTTTCTAGGTTCATTGACAATTGGAAAAAGAACACAGCATCATAAATTCCTTTATTGAATTTCTCTATCTTGTGATCCCTTTTTCTTAAGTATAAGAATGATCGTTTTGATTAGAGTGCCTTCAAATCAATGTGAAGCTGCCTCATATTTTTGAATTTGGTGATGGTCCATGTTACTTAGACACAGATGGATGTGTGTATCTTCTGACACTGATATGAGTTTTGGAAACCACAATGTCGAAATTAGCCTTTCAGACATGACATATCTGAACATAATTTAAAGAAGGTGGGAGGTGGGACTTTACGTGTCATTAAGTACTTTTATTGTGAGATTCAAGGAGAAAGGCTAAAGAAATGTGTCTAGGTTTCTCAAGTGTCATACATGTGTGTAACATTCTTTGTGTGTTGACATGTGCAAAAAAATGGATACGTCGCATCCATGTTAAATAGGTTAATACCTGTTTGTCCATTTCCTTTTTTTGATGATTGACCCATTTCTCCTTTTGATGAAGGAATTTATCGATTGGTTAATTCAGTGGTAGGAATTAAAGACATATTTATTGCTGATGTTATTTGAAAGGTAACATGTCATCTGTGAAACAAAAGTAGATATCTAGTTGCACACATTGCAAACTAACAAAAGCATATACAACAAATTCCTCATTTGATTTGAAGCTTTAATATCAAATCAGATATTTGTTATTGATTTTCAAGATTCAAAAGAAGATTATTGAATTTCTCTTCAATCTTGAATAATAAATTCAAGGATTAAAAAAAACGGATCGCCTGGCGCCTAGGCGCCCACCTAGGGGCCCAAGGCCCTAAGCACTGCACGAACGGATGTACCTGGATGGGCGCCCAAGGCCGTGGGCCCTTTTCCAATTTTTTTAAGTGGCCCAAAAGGGCCAATGGGGTCATTTTGACCCCAAGACAGTATGAAAATGTTATGGGGGTTATTTTTAACCCCCAAAGTTAAAAAAATACCCTCAATCTCTTTGCTATACATGAGAATCGAAAGTATTTTTTGTGGATTGAAAAAGTTTCCTAAATTTTTCTTTTCTCATTGAAATTATTTGTAAGGTGCTATTGGACCATCTTGGTTTCTTATTGATGTCCTCTTTCTTCTTTTGTAGTATCTTTATTGCACCATCTTGGTTTGGGCTTTAGACGTTTGGATTTTGGATGTTAAACAGACTTTCTTTTGCTTTTTTGGACTATTTTGTTGTGTGGTTTATACTTTTGAAAGTCAGTTTGTTGAAGAGTTAAAGACTTGGATGTTATTATGGTTTATTTATGGACATGTAATATGGAGAATTGGAGAGTTGGAGACTATCAAACTATTACTCTTACATAGCTTATTAGGCTTCTAATTTCAAAAAGCGCTAGGCGGCTCCTAGGCGGTCGGGGGGTCCAGGCCGCCCAGCACCTAGGCGGGCGCCCAAAACCTGAGCGGCCCAATAGAAATATTTTTTTTGGGTTTTTTCTCTTTAAATTAGCCTCTAATGGGTTTTAGGTTTCAAATGAACCTAAAACCCACAATTTTGTCTCTTTAGTATTGAAAAAATGACCCAAAAATACCCTCAAGGAGCCGCAGCTCCGCCCCTGGGTGGGACGCAGGCCCTTGGTGGCTGCCTAGGCGGGTTCAGGTGGGCACCCAGGGAAATCCGCTTAGGCGGGCGCCCAAGTGTTTTGCGGTCCGCTTTTTGAAACAATGCTTCTAAATGTTATGTATGGTTTGAATTTTGAAAATTTGAACAAGTTTATTCTCAACATGTGATATGTCATATGTTTGTATATAAAAAACGTATGTTACGATATTTTCAAATGCAATAAATGCCGAAATTGATACAAATATATGCATATATGTGCGTTTGGACAACAAATATATGTATATATCTTAAAATTTGTAGTGCAGAGCACTAGAGGTTCTGAGCGTCCACCTGGGCGCCGCCGGCCGCCTAGGGGCCACCTAGCGTTTTTTGAAACCTTGAATAAATTATGAATGGGTTGGAATGAGTATATGTTTTTTGATGAAATTTATGATCTTTATTCTTTGTTGTTGAGAAGATGAATGGGTTTTTGCATAGTCGGATTGCAAAAGAGGTCGACTTCAAGTCTTTTTTGCATTGATGATTTTCTATTTCCTTCATTGGAATAAAATGAATGGCTTTCTAATGGCAGTCTGCAAATTGGATAGTGGTTCACCGTGCAATGATGGCAATTAAAGATGTGGATGCCTTGTTTTCTTCTTTGGATCCCGAGTACTATGACATCTTAATGAAGTAAGTACTCGCTTTTGCCTCTTTTCTTCTATAGTTGATGTTTATTTTTCTTAATTTACCTCCCCTCAATCTTATGTGAGTTTAAATGGTTTGCTTTAGCTTTGAGTGATATCTTTGTTTTGCATTGGAGAAATGAGTGCTATGGTTACTGTCACAAGATATGCTATAACTTGAAATTTTAATTTTGGAATAAATTGGTTTAATATATAACTTTATATTGATAAATCTATGTAGTTAGTTGGAAAATGATAGTGTTTGAAAGCTTTGGAATGAAATAGTTGATATATTATCATTGCTTCTTTTTATGTCAGTGATAATGACTAGAAATTAATAGAATGATTTGTTTTTCTGTTTTTTTGAGGAGTAACCTTTGTTCATCCATTTCTTGGTAGTGCACCCGAGCATTGATACTGTTGTTGCTGTTATTATTGAATCGTAAAAATAGCTCTGTAATTTATATATCAATAGTAAATTGAGGGTTGCCGACTAATAGATAAGTTAAATTTTATTGAAATGAAGATCACATTCTGCATCTCATTGAAGAGAGATGAATTTGCACATATTTTCATGGCATCGGTAGAACCATTTTCTAATTTTGGTGGGTAGGACTTCTGAAAATGTCACCTCATCTATAATACGTGAGATGAATTGTTTGTCTTTGATGTTTGATCTCAATGTAAAATATTCTCTTCTCATGTTTGTCTTCACTTTGTAATTCAAGAAAAGGCACAATTACCTTTGAGAAAGAAAAAAAGAAAAAGCCTAATTTCTTCACTACGTCATTCTTTTGGGTTGGGAGAACCTCCTTCTTGAGCTTGTTGAATTCATTTCATCCTTTCTTTTGGGTTGGGAGAAGCTCCTTCTTGAGCTTGTTGAATTCATTTCATCCTTTCTTTTGGGTTGGGAGAAGCTCCTTCTTGAGCTTGTTGAATTCATTTCATCCTTCATAGGCCTTTCCAATAAATGTTGGTGATTCTGACCATCCACCTTGGTACCTTTTCCACTTCAGTGAACCAATTAATATGCAATTTGTAGTGGAGCCTTGGATACTGAGCATTATACTGCTTTCTCTTTGGAGCCCATTGGGCAATTCATTCCATTTGGAGACTTCTATAAAACTCAAGAAGTCAATAAAGCCCTTGATGTGAAGCTTATCATGAAGCTCTAGGAGTTTGACCTTGAACGGGGGTCTCGTGGATTCTCTCCCTAAGTCGTGGTTCTTGCCTCAAAATTTACTCATCAGTCATTACATATCAAATCGGCCCTCTAAGTGGGTTTTGGAGCTTGTATGGATCCCTTTTTTGAGTTTGGTGTCAAATCTATTGAATTACGAACATCCTTTTCTTGGAGATTGGTATTTTTTAATCATTGTGACCACTAATTTATTTTGTTGATCTCTCCTAGAAGTTCACTAATCTCTCCCCAAATTTAGACGATCGGGAGGCAAAAATCTTCAATAGCTTTGAGTTATGCTCTCTTCACATGGCTGGTTCCAAAACCCCATGATATGTAGTAGTGTATCCTTGAGCGCTAGTGAGGGCTTTGGCAGGTTTTGTAACAGATGAATCTTTTGAAGCTTTGATACCACTTGGTATAGGAGAAAGCAGAAAGAACATAAGCCAAACCAAAAAAATGAACATAAAAAAAATGAGTGAATATAAAATTTTTCTGAGCTTGCAAGGGAGACCACCCAAAAGGTCTCTTCACAGGGGCCCAAAAATAAATTATTCTCTCTTTGATTTTAAAGAGCACATACCTGTATTTATAAGAGAGAAACCTAATCGCTAACTTCACAATCGAGAAACATAATCACTAGTGTTTGAAAATTCTGCTACCTAGGCCCTAAGAGGCCTTATTGAACCAAATTGGCTTAGGCTGACGCCTTATGTGGACGTGTACGTGGGCGCTTGCCTAGATCCTCCAAGGCGGGTGCCTTGGCAAAAAATGAAAAGAAAAATAGCTAAAAAAGAAGATTTTTAAACAAAGATGATATCTTTCTACCTAAAAAACTTCTTCATGGACCATCAATGAGCATTTGATGAAAGGATAACTCATCCCAATGCACTAGCATAGAAACCTATCTGTTAATATAGGTGCGCGGGCGCACTAATATAGAAACCTAACCCTTTATCTATATAGAAACCTTATCTATCGCACATTAGCCATGACAAAAGGACTTCTAAAATTTGTACAACTAAGGACACAAATATCCCGGGGAAAGAAAGAAAAATCCAAATTCCTTGACGACATAAGACCCTCCATCGCAATCGGATAAAACTTAAATAGTTCCACATCTCCTTCGCAAAAATAGATTTTATACTTTTATAAAAATCATCGCCCTTTTTGTACACCCAATACCCTATCAAATTATGTTGAAGACGGCATAACTGAACCACCTCTAATTTTCTGTTTTCTGATTGAGAGTACTCTCGTCTTAAATTCTAGATGCTCCCAGTGGCTACAGATGGATCATCTAATTTTCATTTCTATTGTCTCGTTCTTTGAAAATGTCTCAACAAATCACTGTCCTGAACTCATCTAGGTTTGGGTCTCTTAGAACCTGCTTAGGGTGATGGGACCTAAGGTAATTTTTCAATTTCGACATTCTCGCATGATGATGTTGATTGCTGAATTCTCAAGAACTCGAAGGTGTTCAGTTTTGCAGACTGAACTATTGTTCTCCCCCATTTTCATACTCTGGGAGAGTTACTGTTTCATCTTCTAACATTGTCAACGTTAAGAGATACTTGGTTTATGGCCTAGGGATATAACCAGCAAATTAGGCATGGTTTTGAGGGATGCTAAATCTTGTTGCAATTTCCATGACAGTATGCCCGATCCTCCCCATTGCCGTTTCTTAATGTGCATCAAGTAGAAATCAAATATGCCTTACGATCTTCAAGAGAGACATGCTGAATACATAGTAGCACAGAATGAAAAGGGGTTATATATTGTGAGACCATTTACTATAACAAGGTGGTTACAATCATTCCTTGCCATTAGATTTCCAAATGGAGGGCTTGGGGTATGTTCAAGAGTTCGAGAATTTTTTTTTTTTAAAGTTGAGTCTAATCAATGACGCACTTACAACCACCTGAATCAAAATCTGATGGATAAAGCGTGATTGTGACCTTGTACCAAAAGTAAATGTCTCTTTGTATACTTTTCCCAACAGAAATGTCTATTTCGTAAAATCTTGAGGGTTCTCTCCTCTTCCTTATTAGTTGAGTTGGAATTGAAATGTGTCATGTTCTGGTGCTTTTCAAAATTACAAAAAAGCAAGAAGAATAAGGGCAACGTGGAGCATTCATGCATCCTTGACTTATGAAAGCTGAAATTCAATTTTTGTTTATGTTTCACTCGAGAGAAAATTTGATCGCATTTGGTATGCCTTTTGAAAGAAGATTGGATTTGGCATAAATTTTTGGTTGATGGTTTTGTTGCAGATATTTGTATAGAGGCCTGGCTACTGGAGATAGGCCGACATGTGATCAATGCCTCCGGATCCACGAGAGGCTGACTGAGCGTGCCGGTTTGGGATGCATTCTACGTGCGCTGGCTGACACTGTAAACACCGTCTAGAACAACCAACTACGTGAAACTTTGGTTTTCTTCTCTTTTCTTTTTCCTTTTGCCCTTTCTTTCTTAAGTGTGCACAAATGATATGTTTTTTCACCTCTTAATCAATTTGGGGAATGTACTTGTGCATAGGATTCATGTTTTGACAATATGAGAGTATGATAGAAAACCAAAACCCCAGCTCCCCAGAAATCTCTCTCTCTAGCACGGCCTTTCATACTGTAAAAACGTGATTTATGAGGCTATAAAAGCCGGGAGAGGGGGTTGGACAACTTCTCTCTTCCATCCCTCATGACCAGGCTCAGGACCCGAACTGTCTGCTCTTCCCCTTTTGGATCTGTTGGCTCGTGTAAGACGGTAGCAGCTGGGCTTTCATATTACTGTCTCAAGTTCCATTCTTATGTGACCTCGTCAAAAAATATGAAAGAAAAGAAACTGATTTTTGTTGAAGCAAATTAAATCGGAGTAAAATGTGTTATTCACTATAATAGGGGAAAAAAAGAAGAGAAAACGAGCTTTATACCTGTAAATAAATTTAAATTTACATGATTGTTTTAATTTTGTAGTTATTTTAATAATCCACCAAAAGTTTTATTATTCCTTGGGGTGACGATGTGTCGGGTGGCACCAGTCGGTTTGACCTGAGACCACTAAGGCCCCGGTAACTAAATTGGGCTTGAGATTTGGGCCATGGTCTGAATTCTGGGCCTGGTGAATTTGCTGGGCTGAGGGCAGGCCTGGGCCAAGTGTCAGGACTCATGCTTATGCCTTTTTCTTTCCATTTTGAATAAAAAAATTCTAATTTCTATTGACCTAGCCTAGCTAGGCCAAGCCTGATCCCAATAACAAGGCTGCAGCCCAGTGTACGGTTGCGACTAGGCCATGGTGCGTTTGGCCCCAAAGGACCTAAAGCGGCCCCTGGTGGGCCTTCTATGGTCTAGAGTCAAGCTTGGGCTAGTGCTGGCCCGGCCTAGGCCTAACCAATGCACATCATTGGTTATTCTACCAAGTGATTCAAACCCATCAATTTGGATTGGGAGTCTTCGATCTAGATCACGAATTGTTAGGCACCAACGTGTTCCAGATCAGAACCAGGCAAGATCAATCTTGTTCCCCCAGGCAACCAACCGAATAGGTCACGGCAACGGTCAATCTGGATCGCTTGGTTATCATGATTTATATTTTTTATTTTATTAAATTTTTTATTTTTGAAAAATGTTTATATAAGGGGGAGTTCATAAATAATCAAATTAAGGTGCACCTAAATTTTTTAATAGAGGTTCTTTTGGTGTCCAAAAATATCTACAAATCGATCATCTCAACTTCAATATATATGGTCATGAGAAAAAATGGATTTCAAATCTTGAAAATATGCATCTTGTAATGCATTTTGTAGATTGGTACTTTTCAAGATTTTGAAGTGTTCATAGACTTGCTCAATATGCACTATTTTTGAAGCTTTAAATTTTATTATTAGAGATGAAAATAAATTTTTAGGACATTACAAAAATTTGTAGTACTTAAACAACATCGTTCAATGTTATTTGAAGGTTGGCCTTACTTTGATTATTTCGAGCCTCAACCTTATACAAACCACACTTTTTATTTTTTATTAAATGATTGTCAACTGAGAGAACCGGTCGGATTGCCACTAGTTTTCCGAATGGCCGGTTCACCCGGCCTATCCAGGTTTTAAAACGTTGATTCTACCTATATGTTAAGTGGAGTTTTGGAAAAGGACTTGGTTTAGTAGAAATGCGGGCCTCTTAATAAATCTATTTTTGAGATGGATTTTAAGACTTAATTTTTAAGGACATGTAATCTCTAACATGGAGATCATGAATATGAAAAAATAAATATATTTTTAAAACTATAAATAATAATTCTGGTAAAAAAACATTTAGACTGTTAGTTTCTATTGTTTTTGGATGGAACACACTTGAGTTTTCATTGTTTTTAGATGGAACACATACTTGCATTAATCTTTAAGATGGATGTTTTGCACTTTCTAGATCGCAAACGTACAAATGCGGTCCAGCCGTATGAAAGAATTTTCCTTTGGAAAATCAGGTAGAAATTGAGTTTTGAGTGAAATGAGTCGACACAGACTAGGTCTAGGTCAAAGCCCTTTGATCCCGGGTCTGAATCGACCGTAGCCCGACCCAGTCCTGGTCTGCTTGCATCCCCACAGAGGATGCCCTCCTCCCTCTCTTTTGCCTACAAAATTAGATACAGCTCGTCTCTGTCTTTTGCCTGCATAATTATGTCGTATTTAATTTTGTATAATTTTTTTGCGGTTTAGATGGAAACATTTTTTGACAATTGACAAATGAATGAGGTTTTTATAAAGCCTAGGTTTTATGGAAACAAAATAAAGCCTCACCTTAATCCTCATCCAGACTTTTGGTAACTGAAATATGACTTTAAAATCAATTTTCAACTTTAATAATAAAATCCAAAACACAAAAAATGATACAAATATTGCAGATCTATGAACACATTTTTAAGGTGAGATAAACAATCTAGATAATTTGTTACCATTTTTTTTTTTCACAACTATAATGTTCAAGCCAAGATGGTCGATGTAAAAGTTTTCTAATGCTTGAATTACAATTTTCGATGAGTTATGACGTGAGGCTTTACTTGCTATGATAGAGCCTCAGCTCTATCAAACTATTTTATTTGACAAATTAATGAAAAACGAGCATGCTTAGGTATGTTTCAATGTTATCATGGTTTAAAACTTTAAATAGATCAACGACCGGAAGATTTAGGTCATAGAAACCAGGGGGCGGTCTGTATAGAGCCGGGGCTCTAAACAATCAACGTAAAATACACCTTCAAATGATGTCAAGACAGGTGGTTTCAATATTGAAAAACTTTGTGATAGCTTTAAATATATTTTCACCATTAATTATAAAATATAAAGCTTCAAAAATAATGTTCATCGAACAAATCTATAAATACTTAAAAATTGATAGTAAAAAAAAGTATTACAAAAGACACTATTTCCAAAACTTGAAATCTATTTTTTTTCTCATATCCATAAATCATGAGTCAAGATGATCAATTCGAGAATATTTAGGCATCAAACCATCCTCTTTTGAAATTTTTCCTTGACATCCCGTTCAAATGGTTAATTATTTAAATGCATCAATCGACTCATCTCATCATTTCGTTTAATAATGATCCTAACCAAAATCGATATCTTGGACATAGCAAAAATTTTTATTTCCAAATAATATCAAAGGGCTTTGTAGTAATTGTGGAAATTCCATTATTGATACCGTCCCTAAAAAAAAAAAAATCTGAATCTCATAATTTCCAATCCATCCAATATTTCGTACCTTCCCTAGAAAAAAGATTGGAATCTCATAATTTCCATTCAATATTTCCCCATCTAGGGGACAAAATTTTCTATCGTCTCTAGGATAAAAGGCAATAGAATTCCCCAAATAGAGCTGTAACAGTTTTGTCTTTTATCCTTGTTTATGACTTTCAAAGAGGAAAAAATGAATAATCTGCTCAAGGTTGGAGAGAATAATGTTGACAGTGCATTATACCCCCCCCCCCCCCATCCCCCCCCCTTCTCTCTCTTCTCTCCCTCTACACATTGCATTTCCCAAACATTGTGGCTACACTACATACTGCTCCCATTCTATCTATCTCTTCCTCTCATTAAAAAATACAGCACCCGTGCCCCCCTTCCCTCTCCCTCTAAACACAACCATGTGCTGCACCATCGAGACCTGGCCGATGCGCCCTCAAAGGGGCGGGGGAAGGCAAGCAGGGCAGGCGCTCGCAGGAGGGGCAGATGGTGAGGGTGGTGGGGGGCACATGAGCATAGGGCCTGGGGCCAAGCTTGAGGGCCCTCAGCTCCTGCAACTCCTTGTGGAGTCTCCTGTTCTCCTCTGTCAGCCTCTCACAGCACCTCTTCAAAAACTCACAGTCCACCTCTGTTTGCTTCAACTTTGTCCTGTTAAAAACCCCTTCCCATGAGAAGTTGATCTTCAAGAGAGAACACGAGACAGAGAGGGTCGAAATGAAAATGGGTTCTACTGGTTACAGTGGCATGGTGCCACAATTTGAAGCCTAGAGTTCCATTGTCACCACATTCCAAGTTTACACATTTAAAAAAGAGAGATAACTGCTGAAAGGACCCGTCTAACAACTTCTGTTGTAGCATCCGTGTTGTCTTTTTTTTTTTGGTGGAGGTTTTAGAGTGTTGTAGCACCCAAGTATTACTATTGTTGGAGATATTTTCTCTCTCTAGAACTTAGTTTCTGCATGAGATAGAAAATGTCAGAGGAGGAAATACCTTCTCTATTTAAGTTTCTGCATGAGATAGAAAATGTCAGAGGAGGAAATACCTTCTCTATTTATTGTGCGAGAGAAAGGAAGGTTTGAAATATAGCTTTTCTACATTTTTTTTTTTTACAATGAATTAACTTTTCTACTTTCCCACCAAATACGTTATTCTGGGAGATAATTGCTCTGTTTAGAACTCAGTCTTAGAGAGAGAGAGGAGAGAGACTAGAGGGAAATAATTAATTTGATTGGATTGTTTAAAGTTGCATCCTTATAGAAACCGCACCTTTTATGTAATATGCATATAATTACTTTTTATAGGTTCACGGGATAGATTCGGGTCCAATCAACCAGGACACGATTGGGCCTGGGCATCCCTTAGGACTCTATGGTCTTGGGCCCGTACCTGGACCCAAACACCATTGCACTCGTACGAGTTATCATAATTTAGAAAATTGGTGTATACCTTGCTCTCCTGTTCTGGAACCAGACTTCAACTTGTCGCGGCCGGAGATTCAGCTGCTTTGCCAATGCATGCTTTTGCTTCTGATCACAGCAAAATAAAAAATAAATTAGGTAGTCCATTATGAAAATATAAAAGACATAAGAACAATAACTTTAATTCTCACAAAGCTTGATTTTCAGACAACAATAACTTTAATTCTCAAAAAGCTTCAGTTTCAGACAGTAGTTTCTATAAATTTAACTATCTATTTTGTACTTTTGATTCTATAAATTTAACTTTCTACTTTGTACTTTTGAGCTCAATCTTTCTATACCTGAAAGGGTTTCTATAAACTTATATTCAATGAAAACCGAGGAAAAAAGATGGAGAAAACAAAAAAACTCACAATATCAGCAAAAACACCAACTTTTTTTTGTCCTTCTTTGATGGTATTTATATTTCTAGAAAGCATCAAAGTCTGTTTGGTGGTATTTAATAGCAACCTGGCGAAGAAAACCAGATTGAGGTGTGTAATACTCACCGGATTGAGAGTGTTATGCTCTTTAAAGCTCTCTTCCAGCACAGCTGATTGCTCCTTAGAGAGTCTCAGCTTCTTTCTCCCTGTGTCTCCATCCTCCTCGTCGCTTATTCCTCGAGAGGAGGCTCTCTCACCCTCATTCTCCTCTCCAATGGACTCTCTCTCTCCTCGCTTTGCACTCGCACTTGATAGCGCGCTATTTGGCGAAGAAACCACTGCTTCCTCTTCGCAATCTACAGGGGAAGAAGGCATCCGATTCACATCGATCCCTCTAAGAAATGACCTAGTCTCTGAGCTCCTCTCTGCAAGGAACTCAATGAGAATATTAGTTTATCACAATGAAAAGAAGCGAAAATTCTTTTGTATAGATATTTAACAATGCTTTCCCTTAGAAAAGTCCAATTCACTTCTTTCAGGAAACTTATAGAAAATTTAGTGTTTTGAATTTTACAAAGTGTTAATTGTAATGACCAGACATTAAATGGACAAATAAAACTAATGATAAATAACACTAACAAAAATCAATTCGTTTAGCAACATAGAGCCAAAATCAAAATTTCAAATTCTTTGAGAAGATTTTAATAGTTGTAAAAACCAGGTATGAGACATGTACCACGTTAGTGTGATCCAAAGAAGTAGGATATTGATTTTCTTTGCAGTTATGTTATATCTTGTTTAGTAACAGCTCAAAAGGCATTAAGAGAGTCTCCAAGAGTATTAATGCCCATAAAAGCACTACAAATTCAATAAGAATTAGGAAGTGAAATAGGCCAAAGTGTGATAGATATGCAGTGAAAACGCACGTAATAGGAAAATCAAATAGAAAATAGAAGAAATAAATACATGCATAAACCAAAAGTTTAAATCCAGAATCCCCACTAAGAGAGGTTCTTCGATTGGTAGGGATTCTAACCTCAAACCTCGGAGCCATAACAAAGAGTCAAAGAACACTTCAATCAGTGTTTTAGAAATCCCCAGGCTGACTCAGGACCAGACAGCGTAGCCTGGATCAGGAGATAGCTGATTCTAGGCTGACAAAACCCAAAATGACCAGTCTCAATTTTTATTTTATTTTATTTTTTGACAAGGTTACATAGAAATGGAACTTGAGATGTTGGGGTATGAAAACTTAACCTCCACCGTCTTGACTCAACCCCGTTTCGTAGCTTCAATTTCTCTTATTAAAAATTGCCCAGTTCAACTGAGACCTGACCTAGCCAAATCCCAGAACTGGGGCTCAGACCTGGCAAGCCACAGTCCAAGGTGGACTCTTTTTAAAGAATAACTTGAATAACCCCAAACTCTAAACAAGTGAAATGTAGATTATTATTTAATGGGCTTTTGCCTCTTGGCTTAGTGGTCCGGCTGTAGGGCCTAGGCACCATGGTCAAAGTTTTGAATTCCAGCTCAACCACCTCAATGAAAAAGAAACAAAAGAAAACACTCATTTAATAAAAGGATAGTATCCCATGAATATTGATCAAGGCATACCTCATTCACGTGATTGTATAAAAATTAAGATGCAAACAATAAAGAGCAGACAATGCTACACGAGCATAATATAACGTACAAATCAAATCACTTTAATAAGACCATGGTTTCAAATTAATATATAGCTAAATGCCACAACACCCAATGCGAGTTACAGCTCACAAGAACAAACCTAGTAATAAGACTATAAGGAATCAATAAAAAACAATTGAAATGCCAAACTCCCTAACTGCTATAAAATTGCATGAGCAGAATTGAAATGTAAAGTTCAAAAAAATAGAAACTAAAGATCTATGGATAACTTTTACAGAAATAAAGCAATCCAACCAATGAAAAGATGATAACCAATCTAGCTTCCATATGAGGAATAGCGAAGATCCCATAAGTTCCAAACTATGGTTTAAAAGAACTAATCAGGTCTGAGCTAGCTAGGGTCTGTGCCAGAGTCAGGAGACTCAAACTCTGTCAAGTCCAAGTAATAACGATAAATATTGAGAACCGGCGAGACTCAACAGGTTCCCATGATTTTGCTTCCTGACTTAATGGGATGCCGGGTCCCAGTAACTCGGGTAACTCTGAGTCGAACTCGCCGAGATTTGATCCATTGGTTCCAAATGGTAAGATTTAGTAGGTTGCATAGAAGAAAACCTTCATATTGCAAGCATTCATGGACTTTGAGGAGGTTGTTGAGTAACAAATAATTCATATCATATCTCTCAAAATCATAAAGCATCAGAACAAATCATTGAACACCTTTATATTTTGATCAATGGGGAAGGGAGATGGCAAATAAAGAAAGAACGTGAAAATGGAAATTTTTAGACCAAGAAACAGGTAACACAAGAGGAGAATTAACATGGATCTTTAATTATAAAAAAAATCAACCCAAATTTAAATAAGTCCCCATACTTGGATACATATAGATAGAGAAAGAAACACAATAAGTCAGCTGATAACTACAATTAGATATAATATAATAGCATCTGTGGTTCAATATTGTCAACATAGCCCATCATAATTCAACAACAACAACAAAAAACTAATAATATATCCAAAATCAGAATAAATAAAACTAAAATTCGAACATTCTAAATGAAGTTTTAAGGAGCTGATCAATCCTTACTAGGTCAACGATCAGAAGATATCATAAGACGTTCAGATACCTATATGGCATCCATGAACAGGAAAATAAAAAATTCCAAATCGTATTATGCATGGTCTGCATTAATGCAGCATGAAATCGGTAACGAAAATTAATAATCTAAAAATAGAAATTACATTAAGAGCGGGAAAATGTTCGTTAGCGAAGACGTTAAAATCTAGTTCAATGACTTCTAGATCACCACATATCTTTACTAATCAGAAAATATCTCAAAAGAACCTAAACGTTTCGTAAAATGAACAGAAAAGGGGGAGAAACAAAAGAAATAACAGGAATAGAGGAATCAAGCATAAAAATCTACTAACATTAATAAAGATATTGCTAATTTTGAAGTGAAGGCAAGACTAAAGCATGCGAACAATCAAATTATCAAAACACCAATTTTTTTGCATTGATAAGGAAGTAAAACAAATCATGCAAATAGGAATTTTGTTGGTTAATGTTCAGGAAATGAAAACAAATCAAATCTATCCTCAAATGCCGAACATGATCATGGAAAAAGTAATTTAGGTGTTAAAAAAAGGGCAAAAGAGCTGTGAACATCAAGATCGTCAAAAATCTGATTAAGAAACAGATAAATCACCACAGATCATGGAAGATATGAAGTTATAAACTAGAATCAGTTCACTCCATCATAAGACTACATGTATTGCTTTTAAAATAAGTAAAAAGATAAAAAATAATATAAAATGCATCAAGAGTATATCACAAAAGAAACCAGTAAGAATGCCAAAAAATAAAAGAGAAAAGGAAACACACCCAACTCGTGCCTTCACAGTGTAGAAACCAGTAGGAATTCCAAAAAAAAAGAAAAAAGAAAACACCCTTCACAGTGTGTGCGAAGAAGCAGGAAAAGAAGGAAGCAAATGAACCAGATCTTTAAAATCATACAAGTTTTTGCAAAGACTAACACGAAATGCATACAAGTGATTAAATGAACAGCAAATTCAGACCCCAACTTATTTTTCATAGATCGATCAAAGCTCGGATGTGTTTCCACTTTCCACTGTTGAACAACAAACAGACTGAGCAAACCCTCGAATAGCTAAACATCTCGCATCAAAATGCAGGAAAAATAAAAAAAATCTACAATACACAGACGATTACTCACTAAATCACCATCAAACTAAAAATCCTGCACATTTAGCACCAAATGCATCCCCAAGCATGGGCATTTTGCTGTAACAATCAATACAAAGGCATGCAAACTCAAAAAAACCCTAAACCCCTCCATATTTTGAATCAAAATCAAGAAAAACAGCAGGAAAACAAAACAAATCTATCAAAACCTACACATTTTCACCACTTCATAAGATTCAAGAAATAAGCAGAAATTTCAAGTACCAGAGCGATAGGCCTCACTCCAAGCAACCAAAGCATTAGAATGGAAGGGACTGTCTAATCTAGGGTTTATAGCAAGAGCAAGACTTAGCCCTAAATCTTCCCTTTCCACCATTGCTGGACTCCGATGAAGTTTTAGAGAGAGAGAAAGGACAGTTTAAAAGAGTAGAGAGAGAAAATCCCAATCTGTTTTGCACAGTTAAGATGACGAAATATGAGGGGTTACTTATAGGAGAGAGAAATCCATAAAATTTTATTTGTGACGTAATTACCCCGATTTTTTAATAAAAAACTTTCAAATCCAATTTATTTCTACAGTATTTCGATAATGCCCTTATGCCGGGTCTTAACTTTTATTCATGACGAAAATGACACCGAGGCTTTTATTGAATAACAAATAAGTTATTGTTGTCACGGTAAAATTAAATATCAATTTGGTGGGAAGTTTGGTTCAATCAAAATCGATTCGAGCAACGGTCTAAATTTTAAAAATATAAAATAATAATTTAAAAATATAAAATATATTAAAAAATAATTTTTAAAATTTGTTTAATAGGACGAACCGAACAAATTGCACAATTGGATCGGTTAAAATCAGTCAAACAATAATTTTGTACTTTTTTTTTATTATTAAAATAAGTTTTGTTTTAGTCCGGATTAGCCAAAGCACTATCAGTGGTTTTACCGATTAGACTCGAGTGGTCTAATCTGGTTTTGATAACTATGGTATATACATACAATGACGAGCAAAATAATTTGAGATTGTATACAATAAAATCACTCACTTATCCAATGAAGTCAGAATTACTCTCGACCATGAGATGTGAATTCCGATTGATTGAATTGTGTCTCGTGCATTTTTTGTTTATTAAGAGGATTGTGCAACCCAATAAAAGAATAGCATTATATCAGCTTTTCTACAACATTTATTGAAGGTTCTTACTCGAGCTCGGACTCGCCGGCGTCCTAAACCTAAGTCATGCTTAGAATCAATCTCAAACAGAGGTCTGACTCAAGCAATTCTCTGAGAAAAATAGAAGACAATATTAAAGGCTCGGGGGACTCGCCGAATTTCCGCTTCTCCAACTTAAATCACCAGGGTCTCAATCACCGATCAAACCAACTCGGGTGATTTGTGAGTCCGAATGTCAATTTCTCAATCTTTGTGCAGAATAAGTGGATTTAACCACAAATATATAATGGTTTGCTGCTAAATGTCTAGAAAATGAAATTCTAACCAAAATCTAAGAAAGTTCAATAGTTGCTTTAGCTTTGTGTAAACTTGGGTGAACAATTTAAATTAAAATTTCCATGCAATCTATATGTGGTTAAATGAGATCAAAATGACTAATCCTGTCCTCTGGTTTTGTAGCCTTAGTGTCAAGTGGCTCATAGAATCTAGGGCCAATTTTGTAACTAGGAAATCAACTAATCAAATGCCAATTTTGAAACAAGTCATATAGTTGCTTAGAAAGGTGAATCAAAGGATCTAAATTAAGACAATACATAATTTAGAGGTCAGTTATGGCTTCTCAATAATCAAAACACCCAATAGTAGGTTTGGGAATGTAGACTAGGATGTCTAGCTTAGTCAAACTCTTAGGTAAGATAGGTTGGTGTGTTTAGTTTTAGGTTAGCAATGATTAACTTTATATTTTCTTTTTTTATTTTTTTTAAAGTAGTGTTTTAAAAATCGCCGATCGGTTACCAATCACATCAAAGTTAAGAGGTAGGCAATTCTGGTGTGAGGAACCCCAAAATCACAAAAATTCTCTCTAGTTTTTATAAAAAAAATTTATTCCAATTAAAATCGAACGCATGGTAATTTAGTGCCAAATTCAAACCCTTAACCTCTCAGCCCCCAATTGAGATATCATGCCATTGAATCCAAGAGCTTCATTTTGTAATGCATTTGGTTTGGTCCATGTCTTCTACCACAAAACAAGAAAAAAATTTAAAGAAAAGTTTTTGCCTGTTCAAGTTGGCTGCTTTCGTCATTTGAGAGCCTCATATGTGTTTTTTTCCTCTTTGTTTTTGGTGGGAAAATGTTTTGATATAGCCCATCAAAACAAGCAAAGTCTTACCTCAAAACTCAAGTGAAAATTGTAGGTTGGGTATCGGAAAACCTTCAAATAGATTATTTCCGTCTGACTATTATGTTTGTAAAAAAAAAAAAAAGATTTCAAGTCTTAAAAATAGTATAAATTATAACACATTATCTAGATTATCCATTTTATCTTAAAAAAAGGTGTTTACGGATCCACAAGATCTATACATTTTTTTAGCCTCAAATTTTATAGTCGCTGTTGAAATTTGATTTTAAAGCCATCGTAGAGATTTCTAAAGCACAAAGCCTTTTTTGGACAAAGATTTTAGGTGAAGCTTTACTTTGTTTTCATAAAGCCTAAGTCTCATAAAAAGGACTTTTTTTTTTCTTTTATTTTTTTTGTCATTTTCCATAAGATAATGGTTTCAATTTATTCAATTCTTGGTCATCAATCATGAGGGGTGTCATAAATTGCCATAATGTAATGATATACCTCACCAGATACCTACCAGATTGTCAACACCATTGTTCCATGGTAACTTGAAATAATATATGTACCTTTTATCTTTCTCTTTTTACAATAATTTATGTGCAATATCCCCAATAAAAGTAAAAAAAAATGATATATGACAAGGAAGTAATACCCAATCTTTCCACATATGCAAGTAAAGCATATCAAAAGCCTTTCACACATGAACATTTTTATAGCCATGGTTTTTTTAATTTAAAATGAAACCTCTTGATGGTTAAAATGAAATTGGGAAATTTACCGGAGGTAAAAGTTTATACAGAGCCGAGGCTCTGAGCAATCAAATTAAAACCCACCTCAAAAATTTCACTAGAAGAGGCTATTTTAATGCTCAAATATCCTCAAATATATCATCTCGACATCAAGATGCATATGGACATGAGAACAAAGTTAATTTCAAGTTTTAAAAGTAGAGCATCTGATAACCCATTTTTTGACCTTTAATTTTCAAGATTTTCAAGGTTTCATCGATCTGTTCGATCTACACTAGTTTTTAAGTTTTAAATTTTATAATTAACAATGAAAATATATTTTAAGGCGATCACGAAGATTTTCGATATTAAAACCACATTTCTCGACTCTATTTGAAAGTACGCTTTACTTTGAATGTTTAGAGCCTCGACTTTATACAAACAACACCTTTTACCAAATATCCGAGCATTTTAACACCTTTATCCATATTCTTTTGTTTAATTTAAAATGCCTATAAAAACTCTTCATCTTCCGTTGAAATTGTTGTAAATAGATGGAAATGGAAAAAGTTTATAAAAATGACACCTTAATAGTAGAAGTAAAGTTGTATTAATCATTTTTTTTGACAAATAAGTAAAGTTGTATTAATCTACACTATTTATTTTGGCTAAATGGTGGATTTGATACCATATCAAAAGATGTGTTATTTTTTATATTATTTTAAAAAACGTATCAAATCTATACCATCCAACTGAAATGAATGATTTAGAGCACTGCAAATCACCTTTATAATTCAGATTGCATCCTTATTCAAAATGCACCCTTAAGAAGTACATGAAGAAAATTAAATATCCTTTCTTAAAAATTAGTGGTTTAAAATGAGTATGTTGGTTGTTAAATAAATTTTAACAACCTCAAAAAGGGTAGACAAATCCTTTTAAAAAAAAAAAAAAGTAATCACCTTAGGGGGGGGGAGGAGCGAGAAAAAAAAAAAGAAAAAGAAAAAGAAAAAGGGTTAAGATAGAGAGGAGTGAAAAAAAGAGAAGAAAGGCTGGCTGAGTGAGAAAAAAAGAGTAAAATGAAAAAAATAAAAATAAAAAATTCAAGACAGGGTAGACATGGGAGAAGAGTAAAAAAGAGGGGAAGCATAAGAGAGAGAGAGAATAGTAAAAATAAGAGAGAAAAAAAATAAAAAAAAAAGGCAAAAAAAATGATTTTTAGGGTACCCGACAAGGCCTGATGGCGGTCACGTGGGGAGGCCACAAAGGCGCGAGACGAAAAGCCTGCCCCTCCTCACGTGGCCTGCCACGTCGAATCGTCACGTGGCACATCATACTGAACCTCGTGCACCCAATGATTCTGTGACCGCCACGTGGCAGAGGGTCGGACCATCGGCCGACACTCACGCCACTTAATGATTGGAATGCACCCTCTCTCTATCATTTGTTATCCCCTCCGCTCTTGGAAATTGCCATTTTGCCCTCACAAAATCTAAGAAATCCGCTATTACCCTTGTTTTTCTGACAATCCTAAACGTGCCCTTAAGACCAGTTTCGATCATCTTCCCCTTTTGCTTCAAGGGGTTCGACTTTTTCTTCAATTCCAACACGAGTCTACAAGTGCAAAAGTTTTTTTTTTTTGTTTTGTTTTGTTTTTGTGAATGTCAACAAGTGTAAAACTGCCATGTACTGTGGTTTGGAAAGTCAGTAATATGCTAACATTATTTTTAATTCTAAATAGGAAAATTTATAGAACTTTTTTATTTAGTGGGATTATCTGCCAAGAGGCCATTTATCATGTGGGAAAATTGTTTCATCTAGGTTGGACCGCATTTTTACAATAAGCGTTTATCTTAAAGATTGATACAAATAAGTGGTCCATTTAAAAACAATTGAAACTAATGATCCAAATATTTTTTTAATAGAATTATTGTTTTTAATTTTTATTTATTTATTTATTCATATTTATGATCTTCATGTTAAGGACTACGTGTCCTTAAAAATTAAGTCAAAAAATCCATCTCAAAAATAGAGTTTTATGAGATGATTCATTTCTATATGGACTCACAAAAACCGTGTCCTTATTTTTTATTCATAGGGGTCACAATGCATTTGTTGTGGTCTAGGGTGTGTTACAAATAATTTCTCATGGATTTATTGGTGCTACATTTTTTTTTCTTGATAGGAACAAGTTACGATAGAATACAGTTTCTTTATCTCGACGAAATGGGAGGAATAGCCTTATCAATGCCAAAAATATTTACTATGTTCAGTATCTTTTCGATCGCCTCTCTCACATTGCCATGAATGAGTGGTTTTGTTGCAATTTTTTTCGTCTTTTTGCGAATAATTATTAGCCCAAAATATATTTTCTTCCCCAAAATACTAATTACTGTTGTGGATTGATGCACCAACTGG